TTTCACACGGTCAATATATTATACAGTTACTTAGGATAAATGATCTTTATATGAATATATTGATTCCATATTAAATGTTATCGTATTATAAGAATAGAAAATGTCTATTATTTTAATACAGAGGTAATATATTGTTAATATTTAATATTATATTTAAAGAAATCGTAGTATAATGAAAATCTTATACTGAAACACTAAATATAATGTGTAAGATTGTTTGTCAGTTCAGTAATCATTCATTATTCACTTTCAATAATAAAATGAAACGCAATTTATACTTAAATGCGTAGACGCAAGTGCATTTGCATGATGTGTATATTGGTAAGTTTAGCTACTCCTGCATGTTCAAGGAAGCATGTCTGGCGCAACCGTGTAAGGATTTTAAAGGTTATCAAGCGGTTAATTATACCAAATAATTAACCTTCAGTAAGTAATGTTATTTATTTATATTGATTTTTTAACCGGACATATATTTTTTATAAAAAAAATAAAATGTTAACAAAATATATTACAAAAAAGAAAGGAATATCTTCGAAAATCGACAAAGTTCATAAACATTTTTTTTAAATAAATATTATGACGTGGAATTCATCAGATTTAGAATATGTTATTTTATCGTACGATTAAATTCAATGTTGTTTCAAACATTATTTCACAATATTGGTAATAAATATTCAATTTCAATGGAAATCTTCATACAGCCTTGGACAGAGCTAACATAAGAAAACGTTCTTAGAAAAATATGAATAGTGTTAAGTATTAAGGGCAACTTGTTTGGAAATATAACTTGTTGAGTCATATGGGAATACCAGAACCTCTTATATTGCAGGTGGTAAACAATGCTTACGAAAATACATTTGAAAATGTGTTCTGTTGAACTTTTTGGTTCTAATATTATGGAGAAATATCAACTCTTTATTGACTATTATAAATATTATTCATTACGTTAATATTCAAAGGTACGGATAGTGAAAACCTTGGACTACCCCTTTTTAAAACATTTTTCAAAGTCAACAAAAAATTATCTGTCTATCAGAAGTTAAAAATTATTGAAGAAAAAAGTCAATCTAACACTGTTCATACAACTGTCAACTTTGAACTATGGTAACAACTATTCACTACGTACTTTTCTGTAAGTATCTTTACTGGAACTAAAATTTACGTCTTTCTATATATTCTTATAATTTTATCGTCATCCTATTTATTTAAAATACATCATTCTTGGTCATATTAAGTGTATCTGCTTCCGTGGGTGTTAAAGCACTCAATACTTCTTTTTTCCAATAATCCTTGCTGTCCTTGAAATGTGGTTATAGAATTGTTTACTTACTTATAAAAAAACAGTTTTTCTACTAGTAATTTTAAAAGGAAATTAAATCTCTTCTTAAAATATGATATTATATATAATTAATATAATATGAATAAGTACTTATCACCAAATTATGATCTTTTCCTTGTTTTCATAACTGGCCGTTGTTACCATTTAAAGCCAAAAGAATATTTTAAGTTACTATAAGTTTAAGATTTAATAAAATTACGCTATGAATTACATTTCCATTTCTTATGATACAAAGTGCAGGGATAACTGCTTTTAAAATCTTAAAATAAATCTATTAACTATTAAAATCTCAATGATCAATAATAATAATTATAATAGAGTACTCTGACATTTATGTTGTACGTCCAAATTAATAGTGTTAGTTTAAATATTTTTTATGGATAACTAATTATAATAAGTGACGTATGTGACATACTGATTCGTATACAAAAGTTTTGACATGCGGTCACGTGCTAATTCATATCTAAATAAAGATAAATGTTGCCCAAATAAAATGTTTTGGTTAATAAATATCTTCAATATGGCTTATACTCATAAGAAATCTGCGTAAAAATGTATTGATTTAATTAAAGTTACTGCTTTGCTAAAAAATATGTCGTATTATTTTATTCTAAGGTACATCTTACATTTTTATTAAAATAACACGTCTCATGGGTTCGTTGGTATGCCGAGTAAGTTAGCATATATTTACTTTACACTACTTTTAAGAAGTTATTTCTCTTGTATCGTGCCGCTAAAAGAAAATATTTTAATCATTTATGAATAATATATACGTATTTGTTGATCAGTGAGTCAAGATATATTACGATAGTAATAAATACAAAAAAGGTACCTACATATTAAATTATTACGTTAAATACCTTTGTATGATTTATGTTAGGGACAGGATATATATATTTGTAAAAATACTTTCTTCTATATTTCATTCCTTTCCTCTTTAATAACATAAACAAACAATTAAAAATCGCTACAAAGTCAGTAAAATTGGTTTATGTTAGAATAATTCTGATTAAAAATGTGTTTACCTTAAATTGTGATAAGATCAAACGAGTGAAACCTATTAAGGAAGCTTGTAAATATGAAACGGAAAATTTAAATTTTGAGTTTGAATATTTCGCAAAACAAAATTTCTATTATTTTGATATGTTCTATATAGGTTTGTATTAACGCAAATTATTCCTAAAGATGTAACACTACGATAATATATGGAAAAATCTCCAAAATTTTCACACGTGTACATATATATTTTAAATACAGCTTTAGCAGTGGACGTGTAAAATCAAGATATTTCTGATGGAATAAAAATAATCTCGATGATTCGATCGATTAATTATTAAAATTACACGTCCGTAAGGTTAAAGATGTTATCGTTTTTGGAAATAATGTCAAGTTTTTAATGAAGAATCGATTCGTTGCTTATTTAACCTAAAACCCTGACACATTTTCGGAACCTTGTTATGCCCAAATATATGAAAGATGTGCGAAATTATTGACCATCCTTACTTGGTCTAAAATGCCTTTAACGGTCTACTTATATTGGTCGTTTGAAATTACGCAAATCGTTTTTATGCTAAGACAAGAAGGATGTAGTGGAAATAAATTTGAATGTTAGAACGAAAAAGGCCTTTTATAAACTCTAATATAGCATATATTTTCATTGTAAAACGGTTTTGTTTAATTTGTTCATCAATTTATTGATATTCGGTTATCAAACCTCAAGAAACGATTAAGGGCCAGAATATAATTAACACGACTAGAACATTCTTATACATTATTTTATTATATAATTCAATGGTTGGCATTGGTTTTAAGAAAACCGAAATGATATTTAAACAGCTATAAAACTTTTTGGATGATTTTAATCATTTCTTTTTTTGTTAAAATAAAAATATTATCAATAAATATTTTACAAATATATAAATATTTTGTACATAATTTTTTTATACAATTTTTGATTTCTATGTCAAGTTATATCTTCATTAATAACATAAATTATGAGAACCGACAACAATTATGAGAAAATCTGCTCAAGTTTATCAAGTATAATAATTTTAAAACCAGTTTGAAATAATTTGATAATATTCCCCTTGCTTCCGTCATAAATACGTTTACGTCATGACTTGTTTACTCGAGTTTATCAAAGAAATCCTTTTCGGTTTTTCTAACAACGTCATTTTATAAAAAAAAATTAAAAGAATTTAAACAGACCTGTCACCACTGACGTCACGCAATAATTACCAAACTTTGTTACGGCTTAAATACAACATTCTTTTATGATGTTGTTTTTTGAGCTACATAAATTAAGAATGGATATTATTTAATAAAGTATAAGAATTAGAATAATAAAATAATTATTTTATTCTTATACTTCCTGATACTATAATTTAAGTTGATATCTAACATTAATATCAGGAAGATAACTAGTTTTTTAGTTTGCATTAATATCGAAATCTGGCTCAGAAAGACATGTATAAACTGTGGGAAACAAATATATCTACATATACATATGTATGTTAACCAACCGGCAGCGAAACATAGTCTGTGTATATGATGTATAAAACATAACTGTTAGATAAGAAAATATTCGAAATTCTGAGATTAATTAATACAAAAAATTACATTCATCATAAATCTGTCCACATTTGAATAGGATGCGAATTAACTCCATATAATGTATATGGTCATTAAAGTTGTTAAGAGATTTTCGATTAGACAACAAATAAATCCATATTTATATCCTTTCAAAATTTTCCATTCCTATCACATATTTTCTATTTATATGTCATTGAAACTTGACACTTTAATATAAGCATATTTGACCTTCCATTAGGAAATTAGTATTTTTTGTTTCCATACAAATGCTTTCTGAGATAATTACCATAAAAACAATTTAAATATTATTTTTTAATTTATCAATAGCTATTTTATGGTTTTCTTACAATAAATGTATAAGTAAAATTTATAAAATGTACATAAATGATTGTTTACGGAAATAATTTTATAGTTTTGAAGAACGAATTAATGATCATTTTGAGGAATTTATAAAATTATTTATATATAAGTTAAAGATGCGAATAAAACAAGTTTATGTACTTCAAAAAGTCAGTACTGATATATATTACAATATAGAAGTTTTATTTTAATTACAGAGCTATAGTTATATTTATGACAGTAATAAAATATCAGTTATATAATAATTAACACAATATTGTAATAACGTTTAATTTTGTGTTAAGGAAGTAATACTTGTATTTGATAACTGTATAACGGTTTGGAATTTTACGTACAAGATTTTGGCTCGAGATGAGACCTTTATATCCGATAGAATGACTCATCTATACATACGCAATATATAACATTAAATATATTTTTAGAATATGCATGAATTTAAAAATAACCTATAACCGTCCTTGCCACATAGATGACGATGTTAATGCAAGAAAACATCAATTTAAAATAGACATTTAAATATACAAAACAATACAAAGCCAAAGGTAATATGTCAAGTTCAAATATGAAACAGAATTGCCCATTGTCAATCTTATGTTTATGAATATATTTTGTCACCAACTTGAACCATCCAAGCGTACTTTGCACGAAGGGATTCGAAGTTTTTATATGAAATAGAAAATACTTATTTATATACATATATTTCAGAATCATGACAGCTTACGACAATGAAGGTGCGGACATAAATATGGAAGATGTGGGTCCAGATAGCGTGACCATCAGTACAATAGAAGAAGAATTGGCCGCAAGAAGAAACCGAATGCTAAAACCCCAAAAATCTACAGTAGCTTCAAGAAGACAGCAAGCGGTATGCGTTAGAAGAGCCCACAAGAAGTATGGACCCAGAAATAACCCAAATATCATCCTTGATGGTTTGAATATGACTGTACCTAAAGGTGCAATGTAAGTTGATTTTTGTTATTGTTATCTTGTTAATATTTTGAATTGTATTTGCTTTTTGAAAAGGGGTTGCAAAAGTATATATCACGATAAGTTTCATTGTTATAGAGTAGAACACTGCAATCGAGACTTATTTCAGTATTTATATCACTATGAGCGTCGGACATATTTGTAAAAAATAAGAAACTAGAGTTCAAAATTATTTTTAAAGTTGAAATTTTTTACACCATACAATTAAGTTTAATGACAATATATTTTTTTCATCAGATACGGTCTACTTGGTGCTTCAGGGTGTGGTAAAACTACACTGCTGTCATGTATAGTTGGACGACGAAGATTAAATTCCGGTGAGATCTGGGTTTTAGGAGGCAGACCCGGTGGACCTGGTAGTGGAGTTCCGGGACCTAGAATTGGATACATGCCTCAGGTAATAAATTATGTGATTATTTAATGGAAGTCTGTTTGAATATCACTTACACTATAATATAAGATCATCATCATCATCAACCTATCAGAGCCCACTGTTGAGCAAAGGCCTGTTGTCACATGGAGAAGCTTTGAGCATTAATGACCACGCTTGATCAAGACGGGTTGGTGATTTCAAACTTATAATTTGAAATTATAAATCCAGGTTTCCTCACGATGTTTTCATTCATCGTCTGTCAGTAATGTCCAAATACTTTTAGGAAGTACATATGACTCGGAAAAATCACATTGATACTTGCCAGGTGTCGAACGGTCACCAGGTGTCGAACGAAAGGCGAGCTTTTAACCTCTAGGCCCCCACAACCACATAATATAAGTCAGATGTCATTAAAAAGACGTCCCATTTTTGAAACGATACTTATTAAATTTATATTAAAACTCTTATAACATTAAAAAAAATTGTTTAGATATACATCTATATAGATAATCATCAGATAAATACCTTATAGCATAACAACAGGCTTTATACATAAAATAAGAAAGATTCTATCAATGATAATATCTTAATCTTAGCCGCAAGGGTGCTCTATAAAGGAGCCTTTTCAGCCCACCAATAAAACTCTATTTATAAGGCCCTTCATGGCCTTTGAAAAGAAATCGTTTGAAATCCTCGAAATTTAAGCGATATTTATTTTACGGCTGCACGCTTACTCAGTTATTTGGTTGTGATAGTGTGCCTTTGAATTTTATTACTGTATCAATGATAAAAATATATTTAGAAAACCTTACCTTTCGTAGTTTGATATAAAAATTTCGTGCTTCTTGAATATATAATATGATATATTATATCTAACTAAATTCTTTTTCGGTATAAATATTTTTTCAATAATTTTAATATTTCAAAAACATGTTTATTTCGATACAGTAATAAGATACATGAGAGTAATTAATTAATTTCTGATTATTGCATATGAATACATTAGATTTGATCTTGCAAATTTTACACAGTTTTTAGTTAAGAAATACTTTTGAAGAAATGAGTAAATATAAAATTAATAATAATTTTGAGATATAAAGAATAACGATTGTAAAATAGAAATACTAATTACCATTATTATAATGGCAAGCCTTGAGTTCAATCGTATATTTTTATTTAAAATCCATCTGCTACTTTTTACCTAATCTGTTTCATAATCTACAGTGTGTCTGAATATTTTCTTTGATTCATGTTTATAACATTATATTCATTATAAAGATTATCAAATCATAACTTGGTAATTGTCCTAAAATTAGGTTTCATTGCTAATTTGTACTAATTAATCTATAATTATTACTTATTCTAAATATTCCAATTATTCATGAAAGACGTTTAAACTGACAATATATAGTTACGGTTCAAACTTGATCTAAATATACAGATATCTGAAACCTAGTTATGTAACCAGATTTATAAATAACAAGAACTTGTATCAAGTTAAAGGTTGAACTATTGGAACGTAACGATCTAATTTTGAATAACAAATGTAATAAGTAACAAGAGGAAGAAAATAACAAAAGATGTTCATTATGAAAAACATCATATTGACGCAAGCTTCTCCATGTGAGAAGAGGCATTTGCTCAGCAGTGGGCTCTGATAGGTTGATGACGATGACGCATAATTTCAAATTGGTGTAATTTAAGAAAGAGCATAGTTTATAAGTTATTTTTGTAAAATAATAACTTGATACCTTCATTATTTATCATAACCATATAACTTGTTCTTGACGTCAATAAGCAAAAACCGTTTTACGTTTCGGTAATATTCCAACAGCTATAAAAACTAACAACTGCAAACAAAGAGCTAAAATCTAAATCAATTTTGTTTCATAACTTATTGTATCAAGACTTCTTATATCTAATGCGCGTTTTATTTGAATATATTTGTTAATATTATGTGATACAATTGTTGATTTTCATTTCTGTTTTATTATTGACATCGAGATGCATAATTATATTATTGGAGAATTCTCCTTATAGCGTACTTTGCAGTTTCTTTTCAACTTTATTAAAAAAAGATAGTATGTTAAAATCATTAAGGTTAAGTAAAATGCTAAATAAAGAATATACACAAACTAGTTTCATCTGTAAAGTAAGAAACAGAACTTAGAAAAAATAAGAAAATAGATTCAATAGCCAATTACAATTGAACACCTAGCGATGAAATAAAAAATGGTTATGTAAACTTATCTATATAAAATAATTACATAGGTGTTCACTCTTTTTATAATAGATCGGTGGTTTAATTACTTTTCAACAAGCATTGTTGTAAATGCAAATAAAATATAAATCATTTCTTAACCGCAGATAAAACGGAGATTGTCAAGTGGAGGCGTATATATTTTTTTATACATGGCGAAGAATAATTCTTTAACAGTAATATTTCTCTGAGAATAACTTTTTATCAAGCTGTTGTATTTTGATAAATTTTCATAGAAATGTTAGGAATTAACTTGATAATACGAGGTTTGAAAAAAACACGCACACTATAAAATAAAAGTATTTTTTAATAGCAGCAATTAGAAGTTTTTGGTGAAGTTAAATTATAAAATAAAAACTTAAAAGAAATATATGAAGTTAGAAATAAAAATCATTTTCTTTTATTTAACTCTCAAAACGGAGTTATGTAATATAATTCATTTATACTAAATTATTTTTGAGTCAGCACCAAACATAGTACGACTTAGAGAACTAATTAAAAAGTACCTTAGAACAAAGAAATAAATGCATCAAAGTAACGATGAAACATGTGCTCTCAACCTGTTGAAGTCTCTCTCATTGACATGACATTAGCCTTGTGTGCACTCAGCTTTATCCGGGAAGCGTAATTCATTACGCTTCACATAATTAATTCATTTGATTTTATTTATTCCTTTGTTCTAATCACACACTAGAAAAATATTACCCACTTGAAGCATCCCATAAAAGTATTGGTATACTCATATTAAACGAGTACCAGTAGACTTCACAAAATAAATATTTACATAGCAGAATGTATTTGTGTTTCGCAATTCAAACACAAAGTATATTGACAGACTATAATTCATAATTATAGGAAATATGACTTCACGGCTAACAGAACAGATATCTATCATTGACGATTAGGTCACAGGAAGTAAAGGCCTCATTAAAGCATAACTTAATGTTATTCTATCAAACCTGTAATCTATGGTGTTTATATTCAAGTGATTGAACAATGCTAGACTCTTTGAACTATTATATGTTTCTAGGCTGTTAATAAAATTACTATAGTTCTTAAGTCACTCTAATATTTTCATGTTTCAACTGCACTTTATTTTGTCATGACATTGACTAAAATAGACATTTCCTTACAATATTAGAAGCTATTAAATCTTTATGGATAAATAGAACAAAGAGATAAATAGATAAAAACGATTCAAACTATATTTTTCTATTAAAACCATCCAATAACAAATTTATTATAACGTTGTGGAGAGAAATTTAAATTTTATAGTAATCTGGATGAAATTTATTCTATAGAATACTCTTAGAGCAACGTTCGCAATATCGGCACATTATTAAAGCAAAATTGCCTGACTTACGAACAAAAGAACCACATTGACCATCGCTAACAATTAACCATTTCGGTTGGTTCCTCGATCTATTATCTCATAGAATAAGTATAACTTTACAGGTCATTAAAATTTGGTTGCAAATAAATTCACATATTCTATATTTTTATATTAAGAAATAAGTAGCGTTTCATATGACTTTATTTATTTGTATAGATTATTTTTTAATGGCGACCAAAATTGGAAAATTCTGTACAAATAAAGAAGTTTATTTATTCACATGTTTCAGAGTTGGAAAACAAAATTAGTTTCTTAAGTTAATTATGTTGTTACAAAAGTTCTTAAACCATCTAGAATTCACAGATGTACGACAAGTATAAAGTTTCTTCAACGTCCAGACAAATAGTTTTGAAGTTAATTAGACACGTAGATGTCACAATGGAACGTGGGGATAAAGTCTTGAATTTAATTTTGTTAGAAGACGCAAATGTTTTCTTAAAATATAAGTTTGAATTGTATTAATATAATTTACCATCTTGTATTGGACACAGAACAATATTATGTCTTGTTCCAGGAAATCGCCCTATTTGGAGAGTTTTCTATCAGAGAAACGATGATATATTTTGGCTGGATAGCAGGCATGGCCACGAAAGTTGTTGATGTAAGGATCGACTTCCTAGTAAATCTGTTGCAATTGCCCAATCCTACCAGGTAAGTAATAGTATTCTTTTTTTCTTTCTTATATATATATAGAAAATAGTAAATATGTGAGAGTTTTTTTTAATAAAAACAACATATCATTTGCATGTTCATTATTTCTCACTGAAGTGATATTAGGTCCCAAAAATGTAAAGTTTCCAATTCTCCTTTACCTTACTTCTTGAGCGATAAGGATCCTATTTAATATCATAGACCAAAGTAAAGTTATCTCCAAATATTATCCTATGTCTGTTAGCCTAAAAATTTTATATTATATCTTCTAATACTAATGAACTACATAAAAGTTTATAATAACAATAATTATTATATTTTATGTTTATGTGAACTAATAAATTTTACAATATGCTATGGCCCTTGATACTTAATGCTGTTTCGAAGAATATCTTTGTACTATTTTATTATTTTGAATTTTATATTGTTTGATATTAATATAATATATTTATAGGCAAGTTAAGAATCTATCAGGAGGACAGCAGAGACGAGTGTCGCTTGCAGCGGCTTTACTTCATAGCCCTGAACTTTTAATCCTGGATGAACCGACAGTTGGAGTTGACCCAGTACTTCGTCAAGGGTTAGATATTCGTCATTAATAATAAAAGAATACTTTGTATACAAAATAACCTATATCATCTTCACTTACATATAATTTATAGACAATTTAATCTAAATACTTCCGATTAGCTTCAATCTTGAGAAGTTATCACGCAATATTATACATGCAAACTTCTGTCTATACAAAAATATGTGAGTTTCCTTGTTTGTTGTGTCGTGATTTTGAAAGGGTTTATTACCTTTTATTTACTTACGAGGTAAAGATTTCTCTGAAAAATTCTAAGTGTAAGTTATTCACTATAAAAATTAGTGAAATGAATATATTTGTGAATTTCGGTTCAAATTTCATCTAAGATTAACCGGCAGTATAAGTACAAACAAACCAATAAATATGTAGAATATTAGAAAATATTCTCATTTTTTAAAAGTGTTTATTTTGCACGAAAATTCTAGTTTTATTGTATGTAAAAATGACGTTACTATCAGGTAGCAATAAAATTCTTGACTGTGGAACTCCTTGTCCTTTTTATAATTAGCGCGATGTTTTTTTAGCGGTTGCATAAATCATGGTCAGGGCCGCGAAATATTAAAATAAGCGAGTTTGGTATATTCTTGATCCGAAAAATAAAAATCTAAAATTTGTATGTTCTTTACAATTTACTAATTATTGTATTATAAACATTTACAATTTTATAATAAAAGGAATCAATTATGGAACATTTGAGTTACAATAGAAAACTAGTAAACTATTATAATATAATAAAATAAATATGAATCTTTCAAAAAAGTGTTATTTATTTAAGTTAGAAAATTAAAATTTATTAACGTTCTTATGTACAATATTTTTGACCATGTATACATCTTTAATCATTATTTTTAACAATAAAACCAGCAGTGAGAATCTAAATTGACACCAATTGTTATTATACATACAACATAGGAAACAAATTGCTATATTCAATAATATTATTACCTAGTAACTATTATGATATTCCTTTTTCATAGTGTTAGTTACTGATACGATAAATTGGCATTAATAATGTAAGAGTTATCATAGGAAATATTTTAAGTAATACTCTCTTTCGGGTCGCAAAGAAAATATTTGGGTATATTGTAAACACATTTGTGAACATTAGCCCTTTTTGTAGTCGATTAAAGTCTTGCCAGGGACCATTATAGTGTAGCTGACTATTATACTTTTTGTTATCCTTTGCGATGAACATTTATTTTATTTTGCAGGATCTGGGACCATTTGGTCGAGATAACGAAGGGAGGAAGGACCACTGTTATAATTACGACTCACTACATTGACGAAACGAAGCAAGCGAATATTGTAAGATTTTTATATTTTAATATTATAATACTATTACGTAGGATTCAAATTTTCCATATATTGTTATAAAACAAATATAAAACTGCTTTGAAAAACAACAAATAAGAAGGTACTGGCAATTTAAAACTAATTCTTAATTATAATTGTTTCAAAACCATAACGTTAGAAAAAACTATCACAACAAAGGACACAACAAATATTCAGAAATAAACAAGAGATTATGAGAATTTATATACAAAAGTATATAAAGTTGAAATAACTTATACCAGGGATATTTTTATAAACTCAAATCACTCACAAATCTAAAGGCAAAATAACAATAATATAAACAAAAAAACATATTTCTGCAGTTAAATCCACGGTCCTTTTCAATTGGCTGATCGTAATTACATTTTTTATCTTATTTACAAAAACTATGTACGGGAAATAATATTTTTAAAGTAGCCATTAAGGCAACTACTATTATATTATAGTCATCTTTTTATAAATTAATGTTTTGCCATTGAAAACTTTACTATGTGAGGGTCTGAAAATACCAAAAGTAATAGTGCCTGCTTTTCTAGTAATTTGTTTTGTGCATTCTAAATTATTATTTTATTACATAGTTTTTCTAAAGACTTTGTATTTAATATATGTAATATGTAATAATGTACGCTCATTCTTTTTTAAATGTACTTCCTTAAATTTATTCCATCCACCTATCGCATGTTGAATTATAGCGGTGCAGTGTTAGTAAATTGAAAGAAGCTGACTTACTCGCAATCTCTTCCCATAACTTCTGTGTTTTACACAATAAATGTAATAAGGATTAGCCTCATATTTTACTTGTGTTTATCGTATGAATGATTAAAAACATCCAATATACAAAATATGTAAACAAAAACTACTTGACATTAAAACACGCTTACAACTTTTTCCAAGGGTGAAAAGGCTGACAATGACGACGGTGACACGTTGTTTCACATGTGTCACAATAACCATTTACCCTTAGGAAGTGTGAATTTATTCCATAGGGCCTTGCACGGCGTGCGTGGTGTTTAAATGGAACCTTTATTTTAATTTACATGGCATCTTTGAACGTTATTTTTGTATAAGAATGTAGGATATAAAAAAACATTAGTACATCCATACATTGAGTAAAGTCCGAATTTTAAAAGATATGAATGCGAAACGTTAGAGCACACATTTATTTAATAGTGTTATACTGATTTTGTAAGAATTATGCTAGTAGTTAGACATAGAAATGTATCGAATTTTTTTTTTTACAGATCGGCTTAATGCGTGGTGGTAGGTTCCTAGCGGAAGAACCGCCTGCGGATTTGATCCAACGTTACGCGGCCGACAGCTTAGAGGATGTCTTCCTTAAGTTGTCAGTTCTTCAGAATCTTGGCAAGAGGCGCCGTTCCAGTATATTGGCTGATGTAGTGGAACGTGTTGAAATACCAGCGTTGCCTGTGAGTTATGGTTTAAACGTACTTATACTATACAGTTGTGAGCTATAAGTAAATTCCTTCCTTTGTTATAATTTTATCGGTGCATTCCCTAACACAATTTATTTTAAAAGTTCCCTAAATATCTAGACAAAGGCGCTATTAAATATATTAAATTTAAATAGAATACCGAAAGCGGGTTCTGTAGTCACAGGTTTCTTTGTATAAGATAAATAATACTCATATAAGTTACATACTAATTAGTTGAATAGAATTTGAAAGAATAACTCTCCAATATATTGTAGTATTCAGCAATGAGTAAAATAATAAATCTTTTAATCTCAACGCTTGCTTATATAAATATATTTAAAAAATAACTAGTATATACTAGACATTGAAATTTTCAAACAGACGGATTTGTATGAACAATAATTTTGAAAGCACTACATATTTAAATAACAGGATAATACTGTGCAATAACATGATAATACTTTGAATAGATTATGTTTAATGTAAAGGGTAAGGATCCCAAAAGTCCCAACTATGATACATTTAATTATGCAAAATTATTACGTTCTATTACTAAATAATGTAATACTTAATATTCCTTTGTTTCTGGACATAATTGATAATAGAAAAATATTTCTTTAAAAATAAAACGAGATTGTAAATATAATGAAAGATAGTTTTTTTTGCATTAGATAATAGTTATAACGAGAAACGTTGTATATTATGATGACATGTTTCTATACTAACGTTATGGTAAATTATTGTTTTAGGATCCCTCAGCAGATATAGAAGAAGCAGAAATTGGTGAAATTTCTGGAGAGTTTGGGGACAATGTATCTATGAGTAGTAAAGGTAGAACGATAGTTACCGAAACAAACGCAACTATAGAAGCTTTACCCCCAGAAGAAAAACAACACAGGGCTTTTATAGAGAGAATCAAACCAATGAAATTACATCACATGGAAGCGCTTATTTGGAAAAACTTTTGGAGTCTCTTCAGGAATTACGGGTTAGTTTCAATGTCATATTTATAACTTTACAGTTGAGATAATAATCATACTTTCAGCTTTTTATATTAATGACTCTGAATTCCTAATCCGTGTTATTTTATTTCAGGTTATTATCATTTATAATAGGGTTACCGGTATCTCAAATGATCCTATTTTGTCTCGCCATCGGCCATTATCCTCTTGAACTACCGATTGGCGTAGTCAATTACGAGATTGGACCTAACAATACTAACGTGCTATGTCATTATAATAAAAATATTTGCCCTCAAGATCCCGAGACGTGGGAGTGGAATTTGACAAGATTCAGTTGTACATATTTGGACTATTTATCGAAACGACAACATAATTTGGTTAAGTTAAATTATTTTTATTACTGTAGTCATTATAATGAAAATCTCTTAATTCATATTATTTCACGCTTTTTATTATTTGTTTGATAATCAAATTATACTTAACTGTCATAGAGATTATTTATTACAATAGTCCTCCTTAGTAATTCATGAATATTAGAATAATAAATATAAATTGCGAGCAGCCTCCGCAGTTAAATATATTGCGAATTAGTATTCAAGAGTTCGGTATAATTTAAGATTATGAGAATTTTTCCCAAATAAAACCAGTACTTCACAAGTCAAATTTTAGTATAATGGTTAAATTCTTTGCAGATTGCATTCCCATCTAAGGCTGTAGCATTGGCAGAAGCTGCAAGGGGAAAAGCTAGAGTGGTACTTGTATTTCCAGCCAACTTTTCCACAAGCTTGCAAGACAGAGTGAGAGATGCAAGACACGCTGATAATTATACGATAGCGAATTCAGAGATTGAGGTTCATTTGGATGATACAGGTAATTAAAATTTATACTATTAATAATGTATATTTTATATAGTTAGTTATTTTATATTCTTCAAAACTTGATTATTTCTATTATATACAGCTAGGTAAAGAAAACATTTTTGTATGGCTTTAAATTGGGTATTTTTGTTAATAAAGTGGTAAGAATCAAAGGATTACTTGAATTTACTCTACCATTCTCGTTGTAGTAAAACTGACTTTAATTCAATGCATGAGAAAAATTAAAGCTATTAAGCCTTTTCTATACCATTCATTTTAGTAATTTCTTCGGAAATTTTCATTACACCTAGCCATATATGTCGTGTGTAATTAGCAAACGACACTTATTCAATATATTATAACAGCTTTGTCAAACAAGTTCTTAATACCTCGTTTCGGTCACTTTTGTTTTAATTCAGTAGAAGTATGATATCATTAAACATTTTTCATTCCTGATTTAAGGCAATTTATATATTTATTTATCATCCAGGTAAAAATTGCTTTTACATCGGGAAGTGGCCGTAACGAAATAGCTCTTCATTTGCATACTAATTAGATAAAACCAGAAAGTTGACGTTATTTTACACTCTACCACACGGTAATTGGGTTCATTTTAATTAGTGGAAAACCTTTTTATTCAGAATTTTTCGGATTTAATTTTTGATGAATATACGTATTGTACTATCTTATGAATAATTTCGTGTTATATTTTTTATCATCGTATCAAACATTTATATAATAGAATATATTTTTTAATAAATGAAATAAAGAAAGTAAAAAAACAAATATAATTGCGGAATCGATCAAGAAGCACAAACAGGCTGTATGATAAAAAGTCAAGCCTTATCACCCTGATATTGCCTCTTAATAATATCCCTTTAAATCTCCTTTGAAGGTTTGGCGCTTAAATTGATATTTCACCGACATTACCTGTATTATTATTTCCTATCGATGTGATTTTGTTTTTTCATATAATATAAATAGCATATTTGTGAATTTTATGTAATAACATTATCTATAATTTATTTGAAGTAGTTATGGTAAATGAAATAGATTACTAATAGCAAACAATCTGGTCTTTATATACAAACCCAGAATGTACGTTTTTTGTTTTTATAATCGTATTTTGTTAAGTGCGAAAGTATTATGAATAATTTTTAAAACCCATCTCTTGATCGATTGGTTGAATAAAAATAATATTTAAAGAAGAAAAGATTGATATTTAAACTGTAAACGGTTGATAAATATTAATATCTACTTTGAGAAAAAAAGAAACCGATTCCGAAAACGTATTTGCCAATACCTTACCTTCAATTAATTGCTTTCTAAGTGTCTTACCTGTTTGAAATTTGCTTTCCGCTTTAGAAATTGTTCTAGCACTTAATTATTTCTTTTATTAACAGACAAACAAATGGAATGGATGTTAAACCGTGATGTTCAACTTGCGTTAATGGACGCAACGGAACATTTGACGGAAGTTTGTAATCTGCCTAAACGAATGCTGTCTGTACCAGTTCATGTAAGTCCAACAATACACAAGAATGAAAATAATATTTTTCGGATATTAATTTTCATCTACAACAGGACCAACTGACAGACATTCACATCTCGTCTGCCCGTGATCACGGTTGCTGAAAAGTAGCCGACACGTAGAGAACATGTCGTTTTTTACAAAAATAAAGCACGCGTAGTACATCCGAAAAATATTAGTTACATTTAAATTAATAAAACTCGCGATAGTCTTAGATCTCATTAATACACAGGAATTTAATCCCATTTAAATAATATAATATACACCTATTATACTCATCTTAGTTCCTATATCATTCATATTTTATCAAACATACTATAGATATTTTACACATAGTATTCATTATGACAGAATGAAGTTATCTTTGTTAATATCAATTCAATATAGAAAACTGTTTTTATGAATTAAAAATGTTCTGTTTCACAGTTCAATAAGCCCATATTTGGGCTCGAGGTTCCAAACTTCACTGACTTTGCCGGCCCTGGAGTAATATTGACGTGAGTTTGTCTTTTATTATTTATACATATTAATATCTAGTTTATTTCGCCAGTTCTTCTCAGGTCAGGGTATTTTCTTTTGCGAACCGGCGGTAGTGTCTCAAGTGACCATCAATAAGAAAGTGTAATGCTTCTATATTGAATAAAGTTATTTAAGTTTGAGTTTGAGTTTAATAAACATTAAGAGCGACTAATGACAAATAATCCAAAAGTATGTAGGATTAAATTAAAAAAATGAATATGGTTTCGCTTAATTCCACCATAAATAATTATCGATTTTCATAAATTATAAAAGTTTCTACAGATTTTAATATCAACGTTAAAATTATAAGTTATGGTTTTCTACTTCGATGTTGTCATTTCAAATGTTTTAGTTCAATTTGTATACAGAGTATTTAATTTTGCCAGCATCTGTTTCACATATTTTACGTCAACTTAATTTTAATATTACAGTCTCATTAAAGTAAGTAAATCTCTATTATTGAGCAAGTTATCCATTTATTTCTTTTTTGTAGCCAAAAAGATAAAGAAAAGGTGGATTTGTTCTTAAAAACATTGTCTATGAGTCAAATTCGAAGGATATTAGAGTGGTACAAAAACAAACACGTAACAGAAAAGGAATAATTAAGGGAAAAATTAATTAAGTTCATTTTTTTCTTAGAATATAGTGTTGAAGAAGTAATATTTCATAAATTTTTTTCGACTAATTGATTCTTATAATATATACCAAAAGTTTCTTGTGATATTATATTGACATATTCCTTTAGTTTGTATTATTGTAATTATTGTTGACAAATCCAATATCCTTTTTTGATTTCATTCGTCCGCGTGTACTGAAAAATACGAATACTTTAGTTTCCTGTAAAAACTAAAAACGTCTAGAAAATATTAACTGTGTAAATTTTTTGGTATACTACAAAAATATAGTTAGATATTTTCTAATTGAGTAATTTTATTCACAGAATTATATTTTTCTTGGCCGTTGCTCTGACTTCTGGTGCCATGTTACAAGAACGTAATGAGGGTATCTTGGAAAGATCTCTCGTATCGGGTATCACAGGTACGGAAATATCTACATTATTTTGAACTTTTCTTTTCCCTTAAAGTGAAAAAAAATAACATCTACTTTAAGTTCATGCGTAATATTTATATTATGTAAAAAAATGAGTATGATAAATTCTTTTATACAGATGTATACAGTAGATACTATGGCTGGTAAAAAGCCATATAATTTTTTGACTTATATAGAGATAGTAAAATCATTTTTCAAGTAAAAAATATAGTCTCATATATTTTTTACTAGCTTTCCGCCCGCAGCTTCGCCCGCGTGGAGTTCGGTTATATCGCGTTTCCAAGAGAACGTTTCAAAAGTCTGGGATAAAAACTATCCTATGTTCTTTCTCAAGGTCAACTCTATCTCAGTACCAAATTTCATTAAAATCAGTTCAGTGGTTTAGGCGTGAAAGAGTAACAGACAGACAGACAGACAGACAGACAGACAGACAGACAGAGTTACTTTCGCATTTATAATATTAGTAGGGATGCACCTTAAACTTGACTTGTTCGTTGACATGACTTATTCATTTTTTAATATCAATACTGATATGACAATTGTGTTTTAATTGAAATGTTGAGCTACCAAAGACCATGTTTATTAATTTTAATTTTATCACCAGGTACGGAGATTCTGTTCTCTCACGTCATAGTCCAGATGTTAGTGATGGGAGTTCAGACTGTGACTGTGCTCGTGATTGGCTTCCTGGTATTCAAACTTACTCTCGAAGGTTCACTTGTGTGGGTGATAATACTCACACTTATGAACGGCCTTTGTGGGATGACGTTTGGTAAGTACTATTAAGAATACTTTTTCTTAGTTTAGATTTATATATAAATGAGTACTTATTGCTATTTTTACAAAACTTGACCTATTATGAACCTTAAAGTTGCCTTCAAATACTTTAAAAAGTTGTCACTATATCTTTTTCATTATTTTACATTAACAAATTGATTTTTGTAATTTCTTTTAAACAGAAGCTTTTATGTGATTTCTTATAATATTAAGTTCTGAGGAAACCTTAAGTAAGACAATAGTTTTATAAACATATATCGGATGAATTTCATACTGAGTTTTATTAGGATGGTAAAATAAAACTTCTTTACTTGTAAAGATATGTAAAAATAATGATTGTTTTGATAATAAACCATGTATGTAGATTTTAGATACTAGTTGGATGTGTTACTTTACTAACTACAATAATAGAGTCGGTCGTGTTGAGGTGGATTTATTATTTACCTGGCTATCAATAAATAAATGTACATACTCGTATATAAAATGTAAATATTATATGCTTTGAAATTTCCGTGAAACCGTTCTATCATCTTTAATAAGCTTTTACACTCTAAAACCAACATATTACTAAAGCTTAAATTATACAAGTGTTTGAATCTTCATATTCTTTTTCAGGTTTCGTAGTCTCATGTATATGTGATACAGAGCGAACTGCCACTTACCTCGCTCTGGGATCTTTCTTACCAATGATGTTGCTCTGTGGGATCATATGGCCAGTGGAAGGTGAAAACAAAATATTCAAATATACCACAAAACTCACAATATAAGCACCATAAACACATACACACACAGATGATGACACAAACGTTACCATCCATTGTAATTTTGTTTATTCTAAATCAGCCTTTTGGTGTTCAATTAAGGGATCAAGAGAAAAGACCACAGTAATTTTTATTAAGAAGTAATTAGTAGTAATTTTTATTTATCAAGTAACTAGACATATACGTGATTTGAAAATCCTGACATTCACTTGCCAATCCATATTTTATAATATTTTTGCGAATAAATCTTTTATATTACATTGTTTACTCTTGGAACCATTTTTGAGATTAACTTGACAGACGTAATAATAATTTTTCGAAGCTGCTTCTGTTGCTTTTTCATTATTAAGAAATTTGATATAATTACAATATGCATCCTTAGAAACTGTTGAATTTTGCATTTTGATAATTTTTCTTTGATGTTTGAAGGTATGCACCGGGTTCTTCAATGGATAAGCTATGTACTACCACTAACGAAATCAACGGAATCTTTAAGATCGATGCTGCAAAGGGGTTGGTCCATAGAAGTTCCTACAGTGTACTCTGGCTTTATATCAACAGTTGTTTGGATAGTTGTATACCTCACAGTCAGTATATTACTTATAAAGTTCAAGAAAGGTTGAATTGAACGAATAAAATTTTATATAAAATTATATGTACTATTTTAGGGAGGGTATTTTTTTTGTTTGTTCTCTTCGCTTTTCAAAATCTATACTCCGAATCATATTTTTTTATATCGGTTATATAAAGAGTTTTAAACTACGACTTCTTGCAAACTACTAGTTATTAATGGAGTCAGTTATTAAGATCAGTTAATTGTGATAATATTTCGGGTGAGGTTCACAATGTGATATTTAAACGTAGTTAATTTTAACGGGATCCAATCTACTTGAATATTTGTAAAATTATCTACAATTGAACATTTGTTAATTTATTTTTATTTTATACCGTAATGTTATTTGACTTGGTGTGTTGTAAAAAGAATGAATTGATTTGAAATGGGGGATTTTGTTATGTTAAAAAATATATATAATATATACATATATGGCATATGCAACATTATTGCAGTCGTGCAATAAGTGTATCGAAGGAGTGTTCAATGTTCATATAAATTTGACTGTAAATATAATTTTAACAACTAATTAGGTATTATGTTATAAATATTAAGAGATTAGTCGGTTTGCTCAATGTAGACATGATATATAAGAAAATAAATATGAAATCCATTATGGTTTTTTATTTCAATAAATTTAATTATAATATAAAATTAAGTAAATTTTGGCTTAACGATTATTATAGCAGCAAGCTATGTTTAAATCTATACAAAAATGCAAGTATTTATTTAAAAATAAAACAATAAAAAATAAACAAATAAAATAACATGTAAATTTTAAAGTTACGTTCTTTGGTTCAATAAGACGAAATTTTACAGTAGCATTAATTTCTATAAACTCCAATAATTTCGATTCTTTTCATGATTATCTCATTTTACATTCGAGAGACGATGAACAAAGTTCAGTTTATTTATTTTATGGCTTTTCCATATTACAAGAGTAAACGTAAGCGTTAGTATCTGACAGACGTAGTGAACACACGGCGGCATTGTTGTGGTAGCTTTGTTCTGCAACGCGGGCGTGTGGGTTCACAGCAACCTGTGAAAACATATAGATAAATTTATATGTAACTATATATAATCCAGATTCTTCAAATAGTTGCATGAATTTTTATTTTTTACTTCTATTAACTTATTAACTACGATTATGGAGACAGAAAATAATAGGAGGCGCAGCTAAAACTTCCTCCTCTAATAATATATAGGTTAAAAGATCATATATAGAAGATCATGTAGAATAGAATAGAAGATCATATAGTATAGGTTTTATCATTAGTTACTTTCTGATGATATTTTGATTGATAATTTATAAACATTCAATATTAAGACATTCAATAATTAATCTTGATATCGAGACAATTTCTTAAATATTGTACGTATCCAATTATAATAGATAATGACATATTATTGGCAATCAATTTGGGAGATAGTTAGAAGAAAAAATGTATAAAAATTGATTTCTCACTTTGAATGTATAGTCTCCCGGAGCCACATCTGTCACATCAACCCATTGACAGTCGATATTGTAAAGATAAATATCCGAACAATTGATAGACACACCTGAAAACAAAAAATTATTTTAAAAACAAAAGAATGATGTATTTATTACTGAAATAACAAGATACTGAAGTAATTATTTTGTAAAAGGTCCATAATGAAATAAAAGTATAAAATAACAACTTAGGTGTAACTTTTTAGTCTGAATTATATAAAGGGTAAAAATAACATTAGTATATATTATCACAGCAACACTGTTTATAAATTCTCATATTTAATTCACACTTAAGTTTACATATATACCAAGAGAAGCAATTGCCGTGGTTCACAACTGATATTTTAGCTAGTCCTGCTATTGTGAAAGCACCTTAGAAAATATAAACTTTTATAATCTTTTCCGCTATGAATTCTACATACAAAACTAAAAACATTGTATGCAATAAAACCTTGGTCGCCGTAATTCTTGCATGAGTATTTTTTCTCGACTCCCGGCAGACAGGTATTGTCTTCCAAACAGAATGAGGCTTTGTGTCCTTCAGCTACTCTACGTCCCGTCATATCCAGAATATCGAAAGTAGCGAATACCTCCATACTGTGATAGTGCCTTTTAAATAATAACTATGTATGAAATATCAGTATGCTTATTATTCTAGATGAAATTATATCTAGTGTTATTGATAATTATTTATAATTATTCAAATTGTTGTCTAATTCACCATTCTAAGCTTAAAGTTATTTCTACTCTAATATTTATTTGGAATTCTTATGATCGTCAACTAGCGCCATCTATATATTTGTAACAATAGTGAAAATTAATGTTTATAATATTTCTGTACAGTAATTTAAATGTTCAAATACTTAAAAATCGGTTTCACAATTAATAATTTGAGCCTTAGCATGTTTTACATAATGGTAAGAGTTTCCAATAAATGATAAAACACTTATTAGGGGAACTAGCGCCCAATATTATAACCTATCCTCACCGTAATGAAATTTGAATGTTATAAATAGGATACAAGTGTTAGATTAGGGATTTTGTGACGAGTTGTTGAGCATTAAGAATCTAAGTGGCAATACTGCCTAAATGATTTCAAATACTAGACTCTATGAAAAGGTCGTGAATTTTTACACAACTATACATTATTTAATCAAGCATAAGAGTGTAAAAAAGATTGAAATAAAATCCCTAAAGATTCAGTAAAGTAGAAAAAGAAACATCATGTGAAAGTCCCAGTAAACATGATCAGTTCACCGGTTAATACGCAATATGTTGAAATTATCAACTACTTTTTATGAGATATCATTACTTATTTGACGATATAGAAATAACTTGCGAATGTTTTTGAATTGTGACTTCCTTAATTATTAACTTTTATAAGAGGAAACACTTTAATTATTATTAGATTGTATAAAAATTTAATTAGATCACTTGTAAATAATTTATGTTCACATAACTAAACTTGTGTGTACGTAAATAATTTTTTACATCAATTATAACTGAAATAGATTTTATTAATTTATTTCTACATCTCATTATATTTTAAAAAAAATATTTCCATATTTCAAAAGATAAAAATATTACAAAGAAACAGGCGTTTGACATAACAAAATTAATAAAAACTATTCCTACTTAGTAAACATGCCGTGTTAGATGAAAAATGGAAAGCTATAAATAGATTCCGTGTTAAGCCTACTTTGCCTTTTTAAAAAGTAATAACAAGTTTTTTAAGTATAAGAGTATTATTATAATATATATTGAAATATAAAGTTTTCTTCTGAATGAAATATTAAATTATAAGATGAGTTATTTGATATATTTATAAATTAAATTTCAGATACTTTATAAAAGTTGCAAATGAACAATACTTATTTCTAATTTATATAAATCAAAATAATATAATGTTAGTACTTTTTTCAATTTTCCATTAACTACAGCCTTTTTTTAAGTTCTTCATACAACAATTAATAATTAATCTATTGAATGGATTTGACATTTAGTTTTATAATTGGATGTATTTTTGAAAGCATTATTTTGAAATCGACAAAGACATCTGAGGAGACAAGACCTAAATCCTTTTTGATTTAGTGATTTCCATCTCGAAAAATGCTAGCAAATAAGTTTTAAAATATATAAACATACATAAATACTCCCGAATTTTCGGTTAATTTGCAACAATACTCACATCTTGTATTCCCGTGATTATGGTTTCTACAAAGTAACCGAAAAGTCCGAAGTAATTAAATACAATACAAAAAATACAAAAAATAATTAAATACGAGTAGTTACCATGAATGATATATTGGTTTAATTTCAATGAATACTTGCTAAGTCTTAAATCTCATTATGTATATTTTGTTCGTAATTACTTTGTTATCATACTTACATATGACATAAATGCCACTGCCACAAATGTTTTGGTAGATAAGGCCTGAATTCTGCATTGCCGATATTGAGCGATGATGCTGTGAAACGCAAAAGGCGCCGCGTTTCGAATTGCCAATTCGGATTTGTCTTTTGTATCTGGAAATCCGTTATATAATTACATTAGTGTAAAAAGTAAATAAAGTAGTCAAAAATAATAAGATTGAACCTAAACAGTCTACGCAAAAATCATTCTATTAAACTTTAATAAATACAGCATTATATTAAAGTTATTATGTAAATACTTTTACTGTAAGAAACTTTATATTAAACTTTATGATCATTATTGTACAAATTTTAAGTTATTGAAAACAATAGGGTGAATATTGTCTATAAGTTCCCCTTTTTTTGTTAACAAAACATTTTATATAGAGTTGTCGTATTATTTACCTAATAACGAATATTTTACCTAATAACGTATTTTTTACCTAATAACGAATATTTGAATACTTAAAAATGTGTATGACATTAGGTAGATATCGTGTAATTTTCCTACGATTCAATATTATAACATCGCTTTTATATTATCTCCATTCTCTAGTAGACATTAATGAAAAGTACTTTATACGGATTTTAAGATTGCCTCTCACCACCTTCTACTTGCCAGTCTACGCTTGGAGTCGTTAAACCAGGTATAAACGGTGGTTCGAGAGAACATTAAGAACTTACTACCGAAGACTGTCGTAAAATTGTTGTATGGTATGAACTAAACTCCTATGAAATGAAATTTCAATGCTCATATATAATATACATAAAAGAGATTCTTGCTTATATACACATATAGTAGTGATTTTAACACAATATACAACTTCGTCAAAAAGAAAACAGATTAATTATTATTAGTTGACAAACGAGTGATAAAATGGCTACACAAAAATTTCATGTGTGGGAAACTATATTTAAATTTGGGATATGCTTGTTTAAGGTAAGTATTATAACATGTTAAACTAATAAAAAACTAGAAGTGATTGCTATAACTGGAATATCCTGGAGAAGAAATGAGATTATTGCCCAGGCATATCGTTCCTACAATTAAAATTGTTTCGAATTTATTAGGTGCCCAGACTAATTTTGTATTTAATAGTAGCTGTAAATAAAAATATATTTGTCAATTCTACCACTTAATTTTCAGATATTTCATCTTATCTAAATTAAAGGAGTGTAATAATTCACAGATTTATTACAAGTTTATGTAAAGCAATGAACCAAGGTCTAATAAATTGTACTGTAGCTTATTTGCATGAATAACGATGTAGATGCGTATCTACCATCAAGTCTATGTGTCTACAATTGTCTTAAGTGACTCAAGACAAAGGCAACGCAAATTTTCCTAGGTTGAATTTATTGAATGTGTTTAGTATAATGATCTTGATATTAATGTTTGTTGTTAGTCCCAACATAAAGTATAAGTAAACAAATATTTGGAACTGAATCTAAAAATTTGTGTAGTTATTTAGGAACTTTTTATAAGAAAAATATAGATAGTTCAGTAAATCAAAAGGCTTACTTCATAAGCGGATTTACTCAAGCAGTTTTCTTCCATTGCACACTGCAGTTGAAACATAGGCACGTCTTGAAGATGGGCACTTCTTATTATAGCCAACGAATCAAGATGAAGATCAGCTAAGTAGTGAGTGCATACAACAGCAGCCACATGACCTAAATTTTAGTATACGGATGTTTATTTATCACTGATAATGACTAACTAATTACTATTTGAATTTTCTATGGTTCTAATTCTCCAATATAATAACGGATGTTATAATAACAGATTCCAATATAATAATAGTTTAACTCCAATATAATAACAGATTCTCCAATATAATAATGTCAGATTTTTATTAAAATGGGTTTGTAACAAAAAGTATGACGCTTACAAAAATTTGAAATACATGTAAAGTTATGGAGCAATTAAAGTGTAAATGAAGGCCTATCGGTTCGGTAGTAGCGAGTCGATTACTGATTTATGCGTTCAATATTTAAAGCTTTATGACATAAAACGATAATACCATTTACATGTTAATTACACTGAATTGTTTGAAGACACAAAGGACTATACGTAGATCTTAATTTAATGAAAGTTTCTCTGTGACATTTTGCTTTAACTTCAGAATACTTTTTATTTAGTTATAATAAGTACAGTGGTAAAATATTCATTATACCAGAAAATAAACTTAAAAAAAAAACTGTCATATCTTACCAATATCTCCGGGACAGTAAGTTTGACCAAATTGTCGATGTTTGCACATAAACAAATTAGTCTCATTCCCTTCACACGCTACACCGCTAAGAATTATAGGAGAGTTTCCAAAGTAATCAGTCTGCAGAGCTTGTTCAGCAAATCCGAGGGCAAGGTGATGACAAACAGCAGCAGCTTCAAAGATAGTCCAACCATCTGGACAAATGCTACCCCAGACTCCGTTGTAATAAATCTGAAATTACAAAACATGTTCACATTACATAAAGAAAGGATTGCCTTTACCCCTTATTAAGTGTTGTTGTAATACCTTTATGCATAAATAAAAATATTAAACTTAACGACCACTCAACCATTACTATTGTTAGAAGATTAACTATTATAGAATTATTTTATGTCTCGTATCAAAATTTTTACTTGTTATATATTTCGTTTATTTTATTACCTCCATACACTGATTTTTATCAAGATTAAAAAAATATATACTTTTTAGAAGGGAAGAAATCTTACTTCAACTCTTCCTTCGCTGCTACTACTACCTCCTACGAGTCTTAAGCTCACTGCCCTAACATCGACGGCTTCATGTATCCTTATTTTTTCCTCTTCTTTTATCTTGATGGGAATGGAATTTTGAATGTCTTCGTTACATATGACACCGGCTACTTCATTACTCTCACAGTCAGAAGAACCCCATCCAGAAAATACACATTCTGTTAATGATTTTTCATCGCCTTCGCAGACAATATCGTCCATCCAAAATTTTTCTAAAACAATAATTTGACACAGTTTATAATTATTAAGTTTAATAGTTGAATATTTAGAAGAGAACTTAAATATTTTTTATCTGAAATACGTTATAAATATTGTAAGATACAACATTAATTTGTCTTTTGTAAGGTATTGAATAGTAATAGTAAAGGAAAAAATACTTTATAGTAATCAAATTAACAAAACTTTTTACTTAAATATTTTGTAGTCATGGAAAATTGTTTATAATTTAAAAATATGTTATATAACGTAACAAAAGTTAAAGAAGTGTCTTATATAATATGAATTGTGTCAATATAATAATAATGTCAATGGTGAATCCTTATAAAGCGACAAGGACAGATGAGTTAAACGTTTTCAGCATAAGTAATGCATCATTATATGTACATGATAAAGAAACGAATCTATAAAGTGGTTTGAATACTAACTTGTAATTTTACTATTAAAACTATTTCTGGGATAATATTTTGTAATAGAATAGCCCATACTAAAAGACCTTTAACTTGAAGCGTATTTTAAAATTTACCGTCATGGTATAAGTGGCTTACAACGAAATATAGGAACTTACCTATTGTTTTATATATAAGGTAAGTAATCAAATAATAGATCAGTTTATTATAAGTTCAATTTTTATAATTACAAATACTATAGTAAGTGAAGAACATTTTCAAGCCTATATGCCTCATCATTCTCTCTGAAACGATTCTCTTAAGAAATCTTCTTCTTCTACCTGGCAATTTTCCCAGCTATAGCCAGGGTCTGCCTTTCATGTTGTGAATAGGTTTTTATTTTTTTTGGCTATTTGTTTTTACGCCCGGCCGCCTGCCTGACATCAACCCTCTTTTGGGAATCAACAGTAATCCGTGATGTCTAAATACTCTTAGAAAGTACATATGATTCGGAAAAATCACATTAAGAAATATAAATATGAATTCAATAATACTAATTATTTGAAAACAAAAACACTTAAGGGACTTTTCTATTGTTACATATAGACCAAAATTAATTAACGCTAGTATATTGATAAACAAATAAATAAAACATAAAAAATATTAAATTTGGCCGCATTCATGATGATGAGATTCTCATCTTGTATATTTTCAAACAAACCGAGAAACAAACCGACACGTTGGGAGTATTTAGTCTAAAATAATGCATAGTAATCCGAAAATTTTAATTTTATTTAAATTAATACTCGCGAAAATCATAGAATTCATTTATATGATTTGGTTAAACGCTCCTCATGACCAAAAAATCAAAATAATCAAAAATTACTATATCTGATACATATTTCTATAATAAACGAATTGTAATATTGATATCGTTCTTCCATTATATATATGTAATTCTTTTTACATTTTGTTTAGACTTCGCGGCAAAAACCTCCAATAAATATTATGTCAATTTCACAAATTTCTTAAGATCCTTTCACGAGATTTATGAATTATTCTTTATTTCTTTTCTAATAACTTTAACACATTTCTATGTATGTTAGTTATTTGCCTCTTTCTTTGTTAAAAAATGTATGTTGTTCAAATGCCTCAATTTCGTAAGCGAATATATAGATTATTATTCTTGATTGATCAACAAACAATCTTAGAATAAGATGAACTTCACTTATAATTGAAGATTGCAGAAGATATAAAATATGCTATTGAGAGTGTCTGGCTAGTTGTTATAGTTTTTCAAAGTTTCTATTTTTACCTATTTACTTGTTGACTTTGCATTTACTTGTTCACTTTACTAATATAGTAATAGGATAAATTTACGTTAGTTTTTTGAATTCGCATAGATATCGAATATATTGACAATCCTGTTGGAGATAAGAATTTTTTTCACTTTTTGTATTATGTAATTCATTTTGTCCAGAATTTATTATCTCTTATACACAACATTTTGATTGAGTTTTCATCAAAAAATTCCAACATGACGTTAGGTTCCTCTAATTTTAAACAAAAGCTATCGAAAATAAAACCCAGCTAAACTACATATATCGCACATTGGCTTATTTTCAATTCATATATTTTGTTTATTTCAGTGAAAAATTCTATTCTCTACCCATATCTAGTGCTTCAATTTTGGAAACAATCTTAGTTATTCGGCATATTAAATCAGTTATTAATTTTATTTACGGCCTTTATAAATAAGATCATTACTATTTTTATAAATTTCATATTATGGTATAGGTACATGTACTTTAATATTTTACTTTATTAATTTTATGGATAGTAGAGATTTAGTATGTATTAAATATTAAAATAATAAATAATACTGCTTCTATGTGTATACATACACATACGAATTACCAAGCTGAATGTCGGGATTAATAAAATTTAAGCAACATTTACGTCTGTTTCCCGATAATAGTGAACTGTCAATTATATTTCAATCATTCCAACGTAATGAGCATAATTTGAAATCTGAAGCTATTAGTGATAATTAGCAACAACAAAATTATAGATTTTGATTGTGCTACGCTGTAGAAATCTATAATATATTAAAAGTGAATGTACAGTAAAAAAATAAGGCAAAATTGAAGCTCTATATATAAATATAAATTACTTTTATGATTGTATTACCTTTAGTTTCACCAAACTGTCCACCGTATGTCGCTGTACCAGTTTTATTGAAAATTCCACAAACGACTGTGGCGGCAGCTTCATCCCACGAATCATCACACACTGCACCCCATCTACCAGCGTGGTAAATATACACATTACCTATTAACAAAAAATATATACATAGCATTTTGATAGCATTAACAAAATCTTAATCCAGTATTATATTCCATCGAAACTGTTTGTTTACAACCTGATCGTGACGATGTTTCACAGATGATTTTCGTCTAACTTCATTACACTGCATAATGACATTTAAATATTTGACAAAACATATACATATGAGAGAATTATAAATTTCAAACTACCTTCGTATTTACTTGATCCTCCAACTAACTTTAATCTCCCCTCCAGATATTTATTACTGTTCAACAACCTCTGAACGAAAGCCGCTCGCGTAGCTCGTTCATTTTCACTTAAGTCTTTACACAGAATTAATACTGAATTAATTAAGATTATTACAACTCTCACATTCAACACCACCATCTTATAAATCAATATAAAAATTATATTTATTAGAGCTTTATGAATATTTATATAATATTACTATCAATAAGTACCATTTTTACACTCTTCCCAAATAAGAAGCGGTTATTATTGACTATAAACGACAATGTACACTTGATGTTGTCACAACACTATTTAAAATACCAGAACGATCCCGATAGGATTCTAGTTCAATGTCAAGATGACGTCATGTATTATTTTATATTGCAATAAATTTAAAATAATTAAATATTAAGGGTCGGAAACTATTTTTCATATCCATCAACAAATTTGTCAATCATTCTATGTTCGTTTAACAAGTTTTTCTATTTGGTAAATACATCACTAAACTGTATAGCAATGTTATCTTCTCTTACATTACACTAATAAAATTATAATATAGATATAAAATAACTAAATCAAACAAAAAATAGTGACAAAAAATTTGTTTCATATGTCACCATTCAGTTAGTATCTGACCTAAATATACAATGGCCGCCTGTAAATTGAATCGCGGCACACTGTACTAGTTTTTGTGGAGTCAATTAATGAACAAATTACGTTGACATTCCATTACTTCTGTTGGTTTGTTTTTATGTAAAAATATTTTTATTTGTATTGAAATAAAGTACACATTTATTTCTATTACAGAATTTCTCTTCTCTATTCTTATTTCTTTGTGTATTAACAGAGAATCTGAAAGTGATTCAGTAGAATGCCTCGACACATCTTCTAACTTGCAATTTCCCAGCTTTAGCCAGGGTCTGCCTTACATGGTGACTGTTGTGAATAGTTTTGGCTAATTGTTTTTACGACCGGCCGCCTGCCTGACATCAACCCTCTTTGGGAATGCATTAAACAGTGATGTCTAAATACTCTCAGAAAGTACAAATGTCTCGGAAAAATCACATTGGTACTTGCCCGGGCCAGGATCGAACCCACGCCCTATTGCATGAGAGGCAGGCCTTTTAACCACTAGGCCACCACTGACTATGCCTCAATACATATTGTCTATAAAAAATCATTAAGGCTATTTAATAAGCTTAATATACAATATTTATAGCAATCTTATGTAAAGAATCCATTATACAATTTAAGGTTGAATCAAACTTTTGTAAAGTATATTTTTCTTAGTAAAACGCTTTTTATGAAATTTTGTTTCAAAACTTTTGTCTTGTGTACACAACATTGCTTCATAAAAGAGATGATCATTAAATAATTTCTGCATCATAGAACATATAAAGTTTGAATGTTAAAGAATCTTAACAAGATTAAATTAAATAACTAAGATATTAAGTAGGTTTATTTATTAGGAATGCATAGTGTATTAGGAATACATATTAAACGATCTTCCAGATGACATTTATTTTACTTAAAACAAACTTTTAGAATTTTCTTTTTAATTGGCATCGTTAAACCGCACTACAGGTGAAAACGAAAATTCATAGTTTTTTGTTTCGTTTTTAGAGCAACTAACAAAAGTAAATGTACTCAAAATATTTATAAATCACTTGAACACGTCCAAATTATGGAACATGTTTAATATATTTTGAATTTCATTTTCCTTAGTTTGGGTTGGTTTTAACAGGAAATCCTTTCATAAATAATTTCATCCCATAAATAACGTTAAGCAAAGGCATTCTGGTTTTGTATTTTTATCAAATAAATTAACCAATAAAATAAAACAAATGTATTCACCTCACTTTAGCAAAATGTACACAGTTAAAATTTGATATTTAAACTATTTATATGTTCATTCTTATCGTCCGAAAAGGTTCACGAATTGTTAAAAACTAATTTTTAGGTTATTAAACATTATATAAAATAAATTGTAATCAATTTGTATTCTGAAAACTTAACTTTTCTTCATACAAAAACAGCTTAATTTACCTCATGTTTCCATTTAAAATGTTGAAATACTTACTATTATCCTTTTGAAAAAAAATCAAATAAGCTTTTATAATTAAAACTTTCCAAATAAATCTCAAATATCATATATAGATTCAGTTTTTGATTGGGTCAAATGTCTGGAGGATTCTCATATTGTGAAAAGGGTAGCATACGGTATCCGTGGATATTAAAAAAAGAATATTGTAATCCTGATACACGCATCAAGGATTTATGTGGACCCAAGAAGAATTATGTTTCCTAATTTTTATTCTGATATGTCTGTTTCTGGATACGGTTAAGACGAACGAAATAACAAACGTTTTATACAATTCAAAATGATGTTTCAACTTCAGTTGAATATATGTTATATAAACATGATTTGTTTGGACCTTTGAGAATTAGGTTTGGCCATACCAATTCTCAGCGGAGCGAGCTAGCTAGTTAGTTTCTAACAAACCGCAATCCAAAATTGTATCATCTCCTATGAACAGCCAACGCAGATATAGAAACATATACTCGTATTAAATTGTTATATTAGGTGAGAATTGAATTATTTCACAAACATTGTTAATTGTTGCATTATGCTTTCAAAATTAATTGATTTTTATTGATAACGAACGGTATCAAACAATTTATTGTAAACGTTCAATATATGTAAATTAACCCGAACTAACGTCACGTTCGTAAGTTACTTTGAGTTTTTAGTGTTTAGTTTTTGCATTTATTCTCATTATACAGTTATGTAAATACATATTCAGGGGCCAGAATATAGTTGAGGTCAAGTTAATATAGCCCGACCAGGGAAGTACCACCCTCTCTCAGAAGATCGGCGTGAATTTGCCTTTAATGACTGCGTTTCGTCCGATGAGTGAGGGAGCCGGTTACCTATTCTACTCTCCCAAACCTTCCACCAATCTCCCTTTTCCATAATTGATGTTGGCAACGCATCCACAACATCCCTTATGTTGCCGATGTCCATGGGAAATGCTGATTACCTCCATTGAGTAGGCCATCTGCTCGTTTGCGACGTTTGATATAAACAAAATACAGGCAGTCGTCGTACTTACAAAGTGTTAGATTTTCCAAATACGCGATAAAAATCAAAACTGCGTGAGTTATCACAATTTTTTTTATGTTTACATATAAAACTCTATTCGTAGGTAAGTACAACACGAAAATTAAAATTAAAAAAACATACGTTTTTAAAAAAAGCTATTCTATGATTTTAAACTCGTTTATTTTTGAAATCCTTGTAATTTAATTTGATATTCCATATAATTTAATATGATATAAGTCAGCGGTGGCCTAATGGTTAGAGGGCCCGCCTCTCGTTGCCGAGAGCGCGGGTTCGATCCTGGCCCGCACAAGTACCAATGTGATTTTTCCGAGTCATATGTACTTTCTAAGAATGTTTAGACATCACTGATTAATGCTGGTTCCCAAAAGAGGGTTAATGTCAGGCAGGCGGCTGGGGGTAAAAAAAAACAATTAGTAAAAACTATTCACAACATGTAAGGCAACCCTGATATAGTCGGGAAATCGCCAGGTAGAAGAGGATTCCACTTTATTTAATTGTGATGTCTTGTAATACTAGAATTTTCTAAATACTAAAATATATTATTCTTGAATTTTCCATAATTTGTGTTTCTCCTGCAACTCAAATCAAGGTTTGAGGTTATTTTGAAATGTATTGTGTTTAATACAAAATTATATTCCATTTTTTTAATAAAGTTAATTTAGATGATGAGTAAAAGACTTTCGCGAGTGTTCAATTAAATGGAACGAATGTTTTCGGATTTTACTATTTTTAAAAAACTACATACATACTCTCGACGTTCTGAAAGTTACAAAGAAATACTAAATAACTCGCAGTAATCTCAAAATATTAGTTCTATTTAAGTTGATTTAAAATTTGCTTATCTAAATCTTAAATATAAATGTTCTTATGTTCACTGGCTAGTACAATGGGTGAGAATCTGACCGGTATCGCTATTGTGATGCTCCATTTTAAGATGTCTTCTCGGGACAAAGACCCCTTTACCTAAAAGTATAAATAAACGTATTATACATTAATTCTTTGATTTTCTTATAGTATATTTAAAGTATATATAATTTATTATAACTGACGGCATTAAGAAGAAATCATTATATATGTAAACTATTTTAATGCTTTGTATATATTTTTATTGACATTTATTTAAAAATAATAATATCTTTAATGGGAAGATAATGCTCTTTAGCAGGGACATTAGTTTTAAAATTGAACACGTAGTACTTAAACAATAACAGGTTTTACTGACTAATAAGAATACAATTGAAACGTAAAAAAATGTATGCACATTTCTAAAAAATATTATTTCATGCGCTTTTTATAACAATTGACCCTGTTTACACTTAGATCACGAGGGATGTCCGGTCGTAAATAACACAACATGGCTGTGGTTTCGTGGTCTACGCCGGTACGTTAAATAAACAAAGAACTTTTAGAAGACAAATTGTAGTAATATTTAAAATAACTAAACCCATAAAGAGTTATTTTAATCTATTTATACAAACAATTCTCTTTTTTGTACCTGCAAGTATAAACTAGCAATCAGTTTGTTATAACATTGTGAGATCTGAGATTTTCTGAGATAACATTATGTTTAAAATAAATGTATTCTGAAATAAAGAAAATATAATCATGAGTGATAATTTATTCTAGAAAAAGCCGTTTTAAGTTTAAAAAGTATTTAATAGAAATATGTAATTGTGACTTATATGAACTTCTATTTCATTGCACTATTTGTTTAAATCTTTTAATAATCTCAATAAGTGAAAGTTGATCGTTTATAATGTTTTTATTAAAATTTCATATTTTCAGATGTATTGTTGCGTTAGATATGGGCTCCTTAAGCCTATACCTGGGTTGCATATTCCAGGCACTGTTGCAGCTCCTCTCCCTGCAAACCCGCATGGAAAGCTTTCGTCATATTAAGTGGAAATTAAACATGTTTAGTACGAACCGATCTTAATGAAAAGCAAATAGCAATTGTAATTTATATGTACATATTGTTGCTTGAAT